ATTCGTCCGTCAGGACAGCCGATTGTAGGTAATGAACGACCGAGAGAGACACGAAGCGGTTGTAGTTTCGTCGCGTCGTCGGTATAGGCAGCCTTCGGCTCTGAGAGCCGAGAGAGAAGAAGTGAGATCAGTCTGGGTCGAGAGTAAGTGACAGTCAGTCGTTAATTAAGCCACGCACCGCTCGAAATTCACTTGCATAAGTTAACCACTAAACTGTACCACAAATTGTACTTGGAGCTAAGATATAGAAATAAGTTAAACATCCATGCTAATCAATAAATTTTCATTAAAGCCTAGTACTCAGATCGAAAAAAACATAATCAGGGTTGATATTCGTATGAAACCGATAAGAAATTTTTTACGGCTAAAACTGTTTTCTAGGCTCTGTACGGAATCTGAGTACTGATCGAAAAACAAAAAGGTCGGTGTTGAGCTATTGAGATTTTTCAATAGCGTAGAGTTAAATCGACAATTTGTACTTTGCTTAATTCACAACACAGTTTGTTTGATTATGTTAGTTTCTTTATTTTCCATGCAAGGCGAGTGGGAATAGAATGGGCAAGAGTTAGCAACAGGCGGACCCGTGGTGGACCGTGTTGCAGCGAAAACAATAATGGGTTTTTGTATAAAAGTTAATAACAATGTAGCAGGTCACTGTGCCAACCGACGATATGTTGTACGTTTTATGATGCTAGATTTCGAAGTGTCTCTGCTGCGCAGACGAGCCTCCCTCACAGCCTTCGTCGGCTGACGATTTTCGGGAGGGGGAAAATGACTCAAGAGCGCAGAGTCAGGTAGGCAATGTTGTGAGCTTAGCTCTGCTCTCTTTGCGCTGCCATGGGCCGGCGCTTAGCCGAACAGTCGGTATATACTGGAAAAGTATCAGATGTATTTGCTTGTTTTTTTGGTTTGTTTCGACCAACCTCGAAAAAGATATCAATTTGATATCTTTTGCCAGCAAACACGAAGCAAACATTGCAATAAGAGAACAAAAAACCAAATTAAATATTTTAATAATGAAGACAAATAATCTAATTAATGCAGCATTATATAAAGGACAATTATATGGATATTATAATATAATATTTTGATTAATTTTCATAAATATAAAACAAATATTGCTTTCAAAACAGTTTGTCTTCACGGTGGTCGGCACGGGTGGCGTCGCCATCGGCTGTTGCTGATAGTCAGACACATTACCTTGCCAATAAAATATTGGGGAGCCCAGGATATGCATGGGGAAGAGCGGCCCCAGCCGAAGAAGTGCATTTCGTTAACTTTAAACAAAACCAAGCAGCTGTCTGAGCAGTGTAACCGTACGGAATGAAGTGCACACCTCTGGTCACACCACTGGTCGCTCGAAAAATATATGACATCTGTTCGCTAGCAAACAGTTTTTCGATCTGAGTACTAGGCTTAAGCAAATAAAACAACCTACATATATCGCACTTTCGGTGAACGGAAAATTTAATTGATGTGATTCCGAGCTTCCAAAAAAATTTTTTAATTTTAAATCCGCGTAGTACTTTGAACAAATTATTGCTAGCAAAACGTGCCATATATTTTGCTAGCTGAGTGTTGACTACAAAATTTGTAAAGCCCAGTACTCAGCTAAATTTGTTGTCGATAAGAAATAATACCGGTAGAAATCGATGGTATTTTCTGTGCACGAGTTTAATTTAGAAAAATTATATTGTCCGTCGCGGAAAATGGCTCACAATCTAAATGGAGGAAAGCAATCGAGCAAGCCTTCTAGAAAAATGAAATAATAAAGACCAAAAAAAGATATACACAAGACCGTCAAATGAAAGACGATGTAAACAGATATTTAATATTATTATTAATTTACATGAATATTATTTATTGTTTCTCATCCGCTACAGCAAGGGCTGCTAGTCTCATTTGGTATAATTAAGTTAATTTCGTCCATTTCCATGTCATTCTCTACAAAACATGTTCAGACAGGCTCCGGTTTGCACATTTACTATGCGTTTTACTTTTCAGCAAAAAGTCATACTTTTCATTTTTAAGGCGCTCTGGAATCCACTTTTGTGAATTTGTTTACTCTTTTTACTGTTAAGCGCCAAATTTACTCCTATTATACCCAGTTAGTTCCAGCTCATACAAAAAGGCCTCTGTTATGTTTAACAGCGATTTATCGATAGCCAATTCGGGCTGCCAAAGCTGTTAAGATGAATTCACTTTCTTTTTTTTACCAGGATTAAATAAAAACGAGAAGGAACGTGTGAGTCGCTTCTGGGGACGCGACTCTACTTTTATATCCGTCTCGATGAGCGCCAGATCTCAGACACTATAAGAGCTAGAGAAACCAAATTTGGTTTCCAGAATCATGTGATATCACACTGCTACAAGTGTAGATGTAGAATCTAAATGGTACATGCATAATCTACATGTTAGATGCAAAATATACATTGTAGATGTAGATAACAGATGTAGAAAAAAAATGTGAAAAATGTAAAATTTTTTTTTAATTCTAAAAATCATATGCTCAAAAATGTATATGCTGACTGAGTTGCCGTTTTGAAAAAGTAAATCACATTTTTTTTGTAATCTTGGTTGTGGCCGGGGATCGCACGGGCAGCGGCGCCATCTACTGCTGTGGATAGCCTGCCAATCAAATAATGGGGGCCAAGGATATGCCTGGAGAAGTACCTTTCACAAACGTTGTTTATTTTATACAAATTTGTAAGCAAAACACATACAAAATTACTGTTTTTATACCCGTACTCAACAAAGAGTTAAGGGGTATGTTGAGCTACTGAGCTTCTTCAGTAGCGTTGTATTGCGATATGTTTATTAACGAGACGATGGTTGTTTAGATTAAATATGGTTTATTGTTGTAAACAGTATAAAGGCGATACAGAGTCAAGGAGATAGCGAAAGGTTCGAGTTAGATTGATGACGAGTCGGTTGGAGAGTTAGTTGTATTCAAGACGGGGTCAGATTGTAGACGCGGGGGTCGGTACAAGACGGTGTCGGATTGAATAGCTCGATTCCAAGACGATGTGCAGTGGTTGCTAGATCCAGACTAATTCAAAGGGCAGGCGGGCCGAATGGCCCGTGCCCTAATGCGAGCGAGAGAGCGACAGATCGAGAGAGTGATAGCGAAAGGCGATAGAAAGAAGAGTGTGAGTTGAAGACGCGAGAGAACGGCGGCATAGGCTGCTGCCGTGCGGGAGCATGAATATGTACATATGTATGTAGATGACAAAGTTAAGCAGTGGGCAGTAGAAATGCTGAACAATAATAGATATTTACTCTACTGCTGCACCACTGACTATGATCTACTGATTATTTGGCTGCGTAACCAAACAGGGTACATATATTAGATTTTTGGTAAAAGTGGATGTGTGTAACACAGAGAAGGAAACGTTTCCGACCCCATAAAGTATATATATTCTTGATCCGCATCAATAGCCGAGTCGATAGAGCCATGTCTGTCTGTCCGTCTTGTTTGACGCCTGGATCTCAGAGACTAGAAGAGCTAGGGCAACCAAATTTGGTTTCCAGACTCATGTGATATCACACTGCTACAAGTGTATTTCAAAATTTTGCCCCGCCCCCTTTCACCACCAAAAAGGACGAAAATCTGTGGCAGGCACAATTTTAAAGATACGATAAAATACGATAAAATAGAGAACGATCATATCTACCAGAGTGCCGAATCTGAATCAGATCGGATGATAATTATAGCCAGAAAGAAGAAATTAATTTTCAGTTGCTTCCCCTGCCCCCTCCGGCAAACAACAACGCAACTCATTTTCCTTCTCGCTCGCACACTCTGCCGCGTTCAGTGCGCGAGCAGCCGCTAGCAGAGGAGGTGTAGAATCTAAATGGTACATGTATAATCTACATGTTAGATGTAGAATATACATAATATATGTAGATGTAGATAACAGATGGAGCAAAAAAATGTAAAATGTAAAATTTATTTTTTAATTCTAAAAAATCATATGCTCAAAAATGTATATACTGACTGAGTACGGGTATAAGTAGAGTCGCGTCCCCAGAAGCGACTTGCACGTTCCTTCTCGTTTTTAATTAAAATTTCACTTTTTAGTTCGGGTTTGTACTGTTTTTGTGCCGAGTAGTTTAGCAGTTGAGTGGAGACGCTTAAGCCGCCGCACGAAGGACACGCTTTGAGGCTTCATGTTACGCGCGGACAGCCGGACGGGTTATCACTTTATAGGGTTATAGGATTTGGGACTTTGTAAGTTTTGCATTCTTCTTCTTTGACTCATCATTGTTCCAAAGGCTGGATAAGTCATTCGCAAACTCTTTTACATTTTACCTGTAGATTCAGCGCCCTTGCTGCTTTCGAATTAATCCAAGGCCAACGCAACGCTCAAATTAAACATGACATTTATGTACAGCCGACACCAGATCCAGGTGCAACGACAGGCCTTTATCCACAAAATAAACAACTGGCGACGGGTTCTAAAAATGAATCTCTTAGAATCCCTTTACTGAAGCTGACAGTATGAAATAAATATATTCATTTGGGATATTTATTTCAGACCGAAAAATAACTGGAATTTATTTTGTATACATTTATTTGTATGCCTATTTATTTATATTGATTTTAGTGGAGTTATTTTATATATATTTATATATAAATTATCAATTTAATGTCATTGCAATAGAAATTCCAACGTAATATGGCACCTTCATAATTATAAAGGAATTTCTAATAGACTTTTTACACTGCTGCATCATTGTCGAAGGTGCGGAAAAATTATGCGAGGCGTTTACAAAAGCCGGATTTTTTTTCGCACCCTTTTTCAATTTTGTTGTTATTGTTTGATGCGTCAAAAACAGCTGTTTGCTATTAATACCTCATCGATATCCCGAATAATTGAATAATTTTTTTAAATACTAGACAAAATACAACACTTCCTAATGATGCGCCGCATAATTAAAGATGCGGTCGCATCATTGTCTTCTTCTATCCACAGGGCTCTTATGGTCATCATCGTATGTTCCATTTAACGGAAAAATCCCAGTGTAAAAAGGCTATAACGTGCTATTCTACATTGTCATAAATATCTTCTAAACCTGGAATATTCCTTAACTTTTCTTTAAATATATCATAGGCTCCTCTTTCCTTTATTGATAGTGTTACCAGATTCTGAAAAAAAATTGTTAGCAAATTACTCTTTTTAAATGTACACATCTTACGTTTGAAACATATAGGTGTTCGCAATTCTCAATAGAGTATCCAATGTTGACTAATTTCTTACTTAAACTATTTACATTTAGTGGATTGCAAAAAAACTGAAAGTAAATAAATAAAATAATATATATAAGCAGGCAGGTTCCGGTTTTCACTTTCGCAAAAAATTTCCGATTTGCTTTTGAAAACGGAAAGTTAGGTGTTTTCCGAAGTCAGGCAGCCGGAGCCTGCCTTACTGTAAAAAATGAATTCTATAAGAATACAAATGTTCTATACTTAACACACATTTATGGAGCCTGTGGTTATGTCCACTATGTGAATATCTTCAGCTCCGAGCTCAATTGCATCTTCAACTGCTCTGTCTTCTAAGCTCTGTCCATCCAAGAGCTTTGATGTATCATATTGGCTTTGTATCAAGCCACAATTCTGAAACATGTGCCCGACATCTACGTATTCTCCTCTTAAAATAAAAAAACCCGGCTACTTACGTATGAAATCATTTTTATTTTTAAATTAAACAATTACCCGCATTTTTTTACCGTTGACGTTGCATCCATCTTAACTGCTGGAAAATTGTCGGTGAAAATATGGCATATGATATATATGTTCCTTTTATATCGGATATCCAACCGGTGCTTTTTTATATTTTGTGTTACATGTTTAAACTGGTTTAAAGTTTTCTGTATAGTACGCATAGGCATGTTTTGCCTTAAGGCTTTATCTATTTCTGATTGTAAAATTGGATTTAATGCTGGATCTGCCGAATTTCCGTCAAGAATGGCCAGTCGAATTTGCCTCGCAGTCTTCGCGAAGAGCGCCGATTTAAATTCGTCTTTCTTTGCTTTTATATGCCTTATATTGGCCCATTTAGAATGGCCTGCCATGTAACGCAAATTATTAACATTGAAATTGCTTCTACAACCAAATGACATCGGAAATTTACATATTTGAAACATATTTTTTTTTACCATAAGTAGTATTATTGTTATGTAATCATTACACTAATAGTATGACCGAGTCTTTTGTACAGCAAGATACCAAATTTTGTATAAATCCAGTTAAGTATTGTACAGGGGTGCCACAGAAATCACTAGTGAAATGGGGAAACCGAGCAGAGGATTTCCGCTTCAAAATTTCCGACGTGCCACAAAATTCCGAGCGATTTCATTTTTCTTAGCATTGTCACAAACCAAATTCGAAAGGTTGCCTCCCTTCAAGATTCAATTCGAATAAGGTTCATTTTGCAGTTTTATTTATTTTATCATACCAAAACAATTTGTTTTTATTTTTTTATTTTATGATATAAAATAATTGATTTTTCAAAGCTGTGCTTTTCTAATTTTAAAGCAAAAGAACATCCCATATCGTATCCGTATCCCATATTTGTGCTTGGGTTCTCAAACTACTGCTAATTTAGTTCATTACAATTACCAGTTTGGTATAATGATCGCTATGCTTCTATTTGTGCTGCCATGGCTCTGCACTTAGCCGAACAGGGGTGTTTGTCATAAATGCAATGGCAATAATGTGTAGAAATGGCTTGTTAGTTCTTGTTAGTTTGGCATTTTGAAGCGATGCCACCTGGTAGAACTACAAATGACTACAAATGTTTTCACAATTTGCACAAAAAGTATGCACACGTTTGACGTAAAGAAAGTTTTACTGCAATGAAATATTTTTTGTAATGCTTAATTAAAGAAAAACAGAATGCTTTCAATATAATCAATACTAAATATCTTGCTCCGAATTCGACGTAAAATATGTGGCATTACTGTATTAACTTCGAAAGTCCGAATCGCCATAGGTGGCCACCTCGGTCTGCAGCGGACTGAGAGCGGAATTGAGAGCGAAATCGTCACCAATTGAACAACCTTTATGGGAAAATAAGATTCAAATCGTTTTAGGTGTGTTTTATGGGTGTATTTAATCAAATTGCTGGATAAATTGTGAGCGATTTTGATTCCGCTGAAAAATTGTTGTGTGGCACGGCGGAATGGAATTGGGGTGAGGAATTTTCAGCGGAAGTGATTTCTGTATATGAAATATTTTTGCTAGCAAACATTTTTTGGATCTGAGTACTTGGCTTTAAGTGAGACTGAGCGCGGTAAAAACTCTTAATCGTGAATATATCGACTTGAAAAATAATACAAATACTTCTTTGTATTTGTATTGTAATCTTCCTCAAGATTTCGAAAAAATGTTCAAAGAATTGCAAACTTGTAGCTCTCCTTTATTATGCTTTATATTACCCTCGATTGCCAAAATAAATAAACTAATTAAGTTAGTTCTTCGTGCTTGTCGAAATTCTCGTATTGCGCCTTAGCAACGATTTCCAGCAGCAGGTACTAAAAAAACAGAAACACAAGCAACGGCTTGCACCAAAAAAACCTAAACACACTAGACACTATACATTTTGTGCCTCAATTATTTTGCTTCCCTTTTCACCCATCCTTCTTTCGACTCCGATGCACCAACGTACGCCAGCGCCACACACGAATGCAAACAGCTACCTACCCTGTAGCGGCGGTGGTGATTGACGCTGCCGAACTACCTACTACCCTGGTCCGTACATGGGTACCCACCGAAGTAACCAAACTAAAACTTGTGAGGGCAGAAAACATTAAGGACACTGAAACAAATAATGTACGGAATTGCAAATCGGATACATTGCAAATGAAATGGACGTGATAAATACGGAAATTGTATTTTTTATTCTAATTGTATTTTTACAGATGCAAAAAAAACTATTATCCTGCCAAGCGGTATTATACAAAATTTTAAAAATATTATTGCCAATGCCAATAGGCTAATAGCCTTTTCACACTGGGGACCATCCACCAGCCACCATCCATTTCTGGGATGGTCCGTAAGGTTTTGCCGTTCCGAAAATTTCCCAGTTATTCCACCATCCATCTGGGATGTTCCTAATTCTCACGTTTCAGTGCGGTATTTTTTCGATAATTGTCAAATGCAACCATATTTCACAACAAAAAATCGGAGATCACTACGAAAATGTAAACAATGACAGACAGGCAAATATAAAAATAAAACAAAATAACCCCATCAGATCTCACAAAGCACGCAAAAAATAAAAAATATCAAATATCAGCTGCAGGTGGTTTTATTTCGATGTGACATCCATCTAACATAAAAATTAAGTAATGAAATTATTTTACATATACAGTTGTGTTCAATGAAATAGTAGTGCCGCACCTCACTACTTTCAAAACTCTTTTTGAGATAGTTCTAGTCTTTCAAATTGAACAAGTGATACCTTTACGGAAAGCCTGGAATGTAGGCATTGGATAACCGAAGAAACCCCGTTACATTTGCATTCCCTCTTCTTGTTTTTCATGACTTTAGATAACTACCCATGATATCTTCTGTTCAATGAAATAGTAGTGCTGGGTTAAATTAATTTTTAAAAATGAAAAAACAAAGCAAATTAATCTAAATAAGTCACCATCCGTAAGCTCAATTTGGTGATTGAATAATTTGATGAAAGAAAGTTTTGGACATAGCGGTACTTTTGATTTTGAAGCGTTAAAGAAATCATTGCTCGGTCCAGAAGAGGATACTTAAGAGTTAGACTAAAAACTTAAGGCAGGAGGTATATTGGAATTGAAAATTAAGTTGTATGCACTCTCACTATTGTATTTTACCCAATTAACTAAAAGAAGTAAACTGAAAATCGATTTTGTATGCGAAAAATTTATTTATTAGAGGATGGTTGGCGGCGGTCGAAGGCAAGACCAGGCCGTGAATATCCTCAAAAACTATGAAAAAAATTTTTAATCGATCTGTCAGTGATGTGACAGTTTGTAGACGGTTGATTACACATTATTTGAATGCAAGAAGTTCCAGAAAGCTCCGCGTTTGGGTCAGTTTGGAAAAACGCATGTGGAATGGCCTGTGTCACAGTGACAAAAATACTTTTGACTGATGATAGTAAAGTTGTATTATATGGTAAGATAGACTCAAAAGAATATGTTTGGCATTCACAGAAATTCAATTACCACTTAAAATCATGAAAAAAATAGCATTGGGCATGGAAGGCTGAGCCTTATGGGGCCCAGCTCATATAAGCTAGTACTTTCTAGCCTGGCGTTTGAGTATAGTATGGTTTTGAATACATTAAATTCAAATTACAGTTGAAAAATTCATGTTAAAAGGATCTTTTAACAGGATAATGACTTAAAATACCCAGAAAAGCTCGCTAGGAATTGATTTTTATCGGAAAAGATCGACGTTTTTCCAAGGCCAACTGTCCAACTAGATATAAATCTCATCGAAGTCTTATGCTGGAATACCAAATACATTGTTGACACTGCAAATCCGTGAACCAGAGCCTAGTTTTAGCAAGTGGTTCATGGATTATTGGCTCAAATCCTATTGAAGCGTTGGCAAGAGATTAATGACCCATATCCGGCCGGTGCAAGTTCGCAATGAAAACCAAATTGATAAAAAACTACAAATTAAAGCTCAAGAAACATGAAGAACATGAGATATATGTTTTTATTTGAGTTTCGTTGTTTTTTTTAATTATCTAAAAAAACACTACTATTTCATTGAAAAGCATATTTTATGGGTATTCGGCTTATGTCATGTAAAACAAGAAGATGGAATGCAAATGTAACGGGGTTTCTTCGGTTATCCAATGCCTACATTCCAGGCTTTCCGTAAAGGTATCACTTCTTCAATTTGAAAGACTAGAACTATCTCAAAAAGAGTTTTGAAAGTAGTGAGGTGCGGCACTACTATTTCATTGAACACAATTGTATGTATATACATATATTATGGATGATTTTATTGCATTATTACCAATTGCACCAGGCACTGAGGAAACCCAATTTCTTCAAATGCTTGGACACACTCGTCAATTTTCTCTGAAGTGAGATAGTTTTTGGACATGTATTCCTCTGAGAATTCGTTGATGAATGCTCTGCAAAACTCATGCAGGATATTGCAGACGCTGTTGGCTGACACTCCGAAAAACACTCTTTTCAGAAGAAGATCCCAAAGTATAAAAAGATATGGCGATACGCTTCTCCAGAGGAATTGCAGCTCGCCAGTTTGTGTCCTTCTTCCGTAGCACTTCCAAGCGAGTAACCAACAGAGAAAAGCAGGATCTCTCCATCCTAAAAATTTCCTTAAAAAACGCCTCGTTGTTTTCGGGTACATCCTTCTCCCAAAATGTACCGAACCGCTTCTGAAAAACATAACATATATGTTTGTACTTTAAACATTGGTTGCATTTATTAGAAGCACTCACAAATGACCACAACCTTCCGGGCTTCAGTGTTTTCAAAACAGATATCCATTCTACTATCTCCTCCTCGTCAAAGTTATCTTCATCATCATCGTCCATGTCCAACAACATGATTAGCTTGTGCAAGAATATGTTTTGCTGCTGAATCACATTCACGACCATTGAAATGTTATTTATATTCATTTTAATTAAAGTAAACAAATTTTCACCTCACGCAATTGTGAGCAACAGCTGTTTCTCATGGAGGGTGGATGGTGTCAATGTGAATCGGTATTTCACATCTTTCAAAAATTCCCACCGTTCCCCCAGGATGGACTCAGTGTGCAGAGAGTATAAGCGATGTGGTGTCGCTGGTCCTCATGGCCTAGGACATTGCGGGTAAAAGTAGATATGAAGAATAGCATTGCTTAGGGTTTGTCCAGTGGGTGGGTAGTGGTAATCTGTTAGGGACGGGTCATATCACCACCACCAAACTAGTGCCCAGTACTTCGGGTACTCACACTTATCCCTGTAAATAAATAAAAATATGTAAATTTAAATGAAAAAAAATATAAAACAAAATTTCCGTATTCATTCTTTGTTTCACTGCCCTCAATTTTTTCTATTTCACTGGACGACACTGTCTCTGCCCTCACAAGTTTTAGGTTGTTGGCATATTTATAGCTAGTTTCCTTCCTAAGTCTACGTTAATGCCGATTGCTGTACATATCTAACTTAAGTTGCTTTCCCTTACCTTTTTTTAAATAAT